CCCTAACTATCTAATAGAATAAATTGTAAAATTTTGGGCTACAATATTCAAAACATTCCTCAAGGTAACAGCAATAATCACCACAACTTGACTGTGTAGGTTCTAAATGCTATGACACATAAAGACTGAACTTTCCTAGCAGCCAGTGAAGACAACTAACTCTTCAGGGGGGTATCTATCTTCTTGAAACCTCAGCCAGTCGGGATGCAGACTTCCAAAAGTCGTCCAGGGAAGTTATGGTGTCTTTGAATCAAAAAAAGGCCAAGAAACCAGGACATAAACTAAAGGCAGCTCCGGCTTCTGATTCAACGCTGCAACACAAACTAAACAAAGATTAAAAAACTCCTCTAATCTGATGTAATCTCATCTGACATCATTAGTGAGAAATTATTTATACATCATGAAAAGTGTGATCAAACCTGGTTTATGATCTCTCAAATTTAATGCATTAATCTGGTTAATTGATTTTACTGTAGTTTAAGAAAGCAGCTCTCGACATGTTCTACAAACCTGTTCCGATGCACAGTGATGACTAAAGTCCACCAACTCCATAACAAAATGTACAGAGTTTTTTTTTTTGCATCATATTTTTGGCATTTTTACATTAATTCTTAATTCCATTATTTTGATTAATCATAAATAAAAATAAGTGTGAAACACACACCCTGTTGTTATATTGATTTTTCTGTTCAAGCAGTATACAGCAAAAGAATGACAGTTTACCTTGACTAATGAATAATCAAGGTATCAAAAGATAAATAACAACTGGGATTAATCACGATTATTCAATGTTGATCCACACTCTGTGATTAATCTGATTTCATTGATTGACAGCCTACTAAATACATCACATTAAGACTTTTGTTGGCTGTATCGTACTTTTAACACAGAGAAGTTTCATATGTGCATTACTAATGCAGAGACAGTAGCTCTCAGACAAAAGACTCCACATTCAAGGAAGTATTTTAGATTCATTTCCTGAAAAGAGGGACACATTCTGTACTTCAATGAATGGTATGACAAGCAGGAATTCATACAGTGAAATATAAAAATATGGCGTTCTATCCATTATGAACTTCTTACAGATCCTGCAATTGTTGCTGTATAGATCAGGAAAATTTTAATTTAAATTCCTCTTTTTTAAATTCCCTCTCTTTGTAACCCCCTGATCTGCTAAGGAACTGGAGAAATTAAATGTAAATAAGGAAAACTTATTTCCAACTGACCGTTGATTCAATATGAAAGGAAAATGTCCGGAACGCTCTGGAGGCTTCAAATGGTTTCAATTGTATCTCGTCTGCCCACCTTAGCCCTCCGTCTCTTGGAGACCATGTTTACTGAGTGGCTGCCAGGACACAGTGTGTGTAACAGTCAATGAATACTGCAACACTGTTGGTCACAGCACAAACAGCCTCCACTGTGGTACTGCGCACCAACATCTGTACACACGCACGTATTTACATGCTAAACCCAGAGTTACTGACATCCCATAACCCAGAGTTAGCTAAACCCAGAGTTACTGACATCCCATACAGTTGTTACTGTATCTGCATGTCATTTCCATGTGTTAGCTATAAAATATAATCACATGAGATCCATCTGACGCAGGATACTGAAACAACATACAAAACACAATCATATTCCTGCTCACACTGTCACACACTCAAACACCCACACTGCAGAATCAATCACCTTCCTGTGAGGCATTGATTCAATCCACTGCCTCACAGTGACACCTGATGTGAAAATCTCCACATATCAAAGAGAGAGTTCAGTTATTCTTCTCCTACTGCCTCATTATGTTTCATGGTTACAGGGGAAATTAGAGCCAATCCCAGCAGTGACCAGTGGACGACTGTCCATCACTGATGGAAACAAATGACCACTCACAATCTCATTTAGATCACATGGAGGGAGAACATACAGAAAACATGTGAACTCTTAAAAATGTAATAAAAGAATTACAGTGAATTACCCCATAAATTGACTGACCTCTCATTGCTATTTTGGTTGCAAAAGTTGCTTTTTAAAAAAATAAAAATAATGACTTTTTTGTGATAATTGTGAAATGAAACCCTCATTGTCATTCTGGTGGATCATTAAAAATAGGTTTTGGTTATTATTTAGAATTCTGAAATTAAAATTCATTACACCACACCATATATGAAATCATTTACAGCCAACTTTCATATTGCTGACTTAGGAAATAAAATGTCTATGTAAATAAAATAAAAATATATTTTTTTCAATGTTTGTTTTAATGTTACCATTTCCTTTAAGCTCAAATCTAATGATTCGAGCTTGTTAATGGAAAGGTATTTTTCCATTAACTCATGATCAAATAATAAATACACCTCATTTCTAACCTTTCAGTTTCTATTACTCAGTGACATGTGTCTCTAATAAATGTTGGGAGTTCCACTGAAGTACTCCTGCAGTACTGCCTCATCTGTGCTCCTTCATAAATCAGCAAACCTGATCTGTGCTAAGAAAATGAGTCAGAGCTGTGCACTGTGTAGAAACTACAACAGTATCCATGCAACCTGAGAACTTTGACAGAAAAATACATATGCAGATGCGTCGTGCATATTACAAACTGCCCTGAGCTGAAGGAAAAGCGTGAGCTGCAAAGATGAAGTACAGCAATATTAAACGCCTGGTCTTTTCTCATGTCTGAAACTGTTTTATATTCTGTGCAGGTCTGAGCGAGGTACTCTGATTATTCTACATTCTCTCCCGATGATGAGATGAATTGTATTTTCCAGAGTGGCTCATTACAGTCCAGGCATTTTTTCTTCAATGAGAATCTTTGATTGAGGGAAGATTGAGGCGTCTATTTAAACAATCCGCCCGCTCTCCTCCAACATGATTGTCAATCTGTTGACGCACTTCATTAGCAGGGAGGCTGCTCATGAGCACATCTGTTCCCCTCTTTGAGAGCTGCGCTGTTACGAAAACCCGAGGCCTCCTCCAGTGCACAGCTCTGGAAACTACAGCCTGTAAACAGCAGTAACATCCACCTCATAGATCTGTGTAAAATCTGAGAAGGTGTTGGACCACTGGCTCTGACGGGAGTCTCGTGGGACGTGGAGAAACTGACTCAGAATACCAATGTTACTGACTGAGCTACAGTGTACAGTGCTGTAGCCATTAAACCCTGACTACATCTCTCATTGACAAAAGTTGGTACAGGACGTCCTGTTTTTATGGCCAGTGTGTTGGCCTCACTATGAAGACACACAAGAGTCTGATGTTCAGTTTCAGTGTAACACTGTGGAAGATTTTTCGTACATCTCACCATGGCTGAGCGATATAGACCCAATAGCAGAACATATTTTGTCTAGTAAATATTAATATATGAAAAATCTCATTTTTTCCCTAAGAAACAAAATAAATGCTAAATATTCAAAACCACACAGTGTTTTCTTATTATTATTTTAAAGAATACACGTGTAAATAAAAAACAAAGCATTAAATCCTAAACACAAATAAAGGTATTTTGTTTTACTT